TTAATTCATCACGCATGGTCAGCAAAGGACCGTTGCACCAAACGTGCAACTAGTTTTTATTTTACCAGGTAAAGCTCACTGAGCTACAGTATGTCGCTCTTTTTCAGAGGCGACCTGGCCACAAATGATCGCTCAACAAACTGGCTCGCCACGTGGAAATCTATAGCAGCCAGAATACTCCAAACGCGCGATGTTCATTCTAAATGTGGAGGGGATAAAAAGCAGAGGACCCGGAGAAAAATCCACGCGACCATGGGGAGAGAGACACGCAAACCCCAAATATACAGCAGGCGTCAGGGTTAGAATCGAAATCCCGACATCGTGTATACGAGGAGGTCGTGGGTTCGATCCAGAGGATGACGACGGTGAATTTGGCGTGATGAGATCATCTCTATGTGCCGCACTTGTTTGAGGTATGCGTCTAAACGCCGCCGACTCTAGGCGCTGACCGCTGGGAAAAGTGGCACGAACGAAACGTAACGCGGAGGTGGCTGTGGTTTTTACGTCGTAGCGGAGGAATTAAATTCTGCGTAAGGAAGTTTGGGTGAGGGGCAGCCGGGGAGTGACCACGTCATGAGAAAATTCGTTGCAGCATTTCCTCATGAAATACGGGGCAGCATTTCCTCTTATCTTCTTTTGTTCTTTCGGTAAAGTCACGTAGAATGAGAATAAAATAATTAATTGATAAAATAAAATAACACAATAATATTCTCACGACGTTTCGGCCACAACACAAGCGGCCTTCATCAGGTGAAGGGGACGAGACTGTCTGGAGGACAGCGCCGAAACGTCGTGAGAATATTATTGTGTTATTTTATTTTATCAATTTATTATTTTATTCTCATTCTACGTGACTTTACCGAATGAACCAAAGAAGATGAATCTTTGCAGTCACGAAAGCTTTAAATCGACATTTCCTCTTAATTTACGGGGCAGCATTGTCTCTTGAAATACGGGGCAGAAATTCATTTTGAAATACGGGGCAGCATTTCGTCTCTAAAATACGGGGCAGCATTTCCTCTTAAAATATGGGACAACATTTCCTGTTAAAATACGGGGCAGTATTTCCTCTAAAAAATACAGGGCAGCATTTTCGCTTAAAATACGGGGCATAATTTCCTGTTAAAATACGGGGCAGCATTTCCTCTTACAATACGGGGCAGCATTTCCTCTTAAAATACGGGGCAGCATTTCCTCTTAGAATATAGGGCATAATTTCCTCTTAAAATACGGGGCAGTATTTCCTCTTAAAACACGGGGCAGTATTTCCTCTTAAAATACGGGGCAGTATTTCCTCTTAAAATACGGGGCAGTATTTCCTCTTGAAATACGGGGCAGCATTTCCTCTTAAAATACGGGGCAGTATTTCCTCTTAAAATACGGGGCAGCATTTCCTCTTAAAATACGGGGCAGCATTTCCTGTTAAAATACGGGGCAGTATTTCCTCTTAAAAATACAGGGCAGAATTTTCTTTTAAAATACGGGGCAGAATTTCCTGTTAAAATACGGGGCAGCATTTCCTCTTAAAATACGGGGCAGAATTTCCTCTTAGAATATAGGGCAGTATTTCCTGTTAAAATACGGGGCAGCATTTCCTATTAAAATAGGGGGCAGTATTTCCTCTTAAAATACAGGGCAGCATTTCCTCTTAAAATACGGGGCAGTATTTCCTTTTAAAATACGGGGCAGCATTTCCTCTTAAAATACGGGGCAGTATTTCCTCTTAAAATACGGGGCAGCATTTCCTCTTATAATAGGGGCAGTATTTCCTCTTAAAACTTATATAAGCCACACTGGAGTTCTCTCTCTCCATAAAAGCCCCACGGACTTTACTTAAAGTGTTTTTTTTCCGCCTTGCAAAGTTTGGCCATGTCATAAGTTTTTAATGTACAGTGTGCGTTAAATATACACGTGCATTTTAAATAAAGCAATCATATTGATACAGTATTAATTACATGTCATTATTAATATACCAACAATAACATTCCGTCTTTTTTTTTCAGCAGAAGGCATTAGGCAACCCAGCAATGGTGATGGTGTGTTGGCAGCGGTGCATAACCACAAATAACAAGAACACTAAACACTTTATTTTGGTGAGCCATCGAACATAGACGGTCAGCGCTTCTTGCAGTCGTCCGGAACGTTCTTCTTTTCGATATTAGGAAGCCACTGTAGCTACGGCACTTTTAATTCAAATAGATTGAAAATAATTTAATTGGAACACCTTTTTGTGTTTAGTTTATTGTCTTTCCCCCCGCACCTTATTTACGCACGGTGCGAAATAAGTTCAACATGCATTCATCAAGAGAACAGTTTAGCCTTCAAAAGGTCAAATTTGTAATCGGCGACGTTTCGGGTAATTACCCTTCTCCACAGTACATAAACAGAGAAGCCACTAGAGGGACAGGGTGAATGATAAGAGCTGGAGACTGCACTGAGGCCCTGATGACAATTATATGTACAACATCTTTTATGATGGCAGTTTTATTTTCATTGGCATAGGACTCGACAACCCCCTGCAATAATAACAAGTGTTAATTTATTTTAATATAATTTTCTACATACGTGACTTTACCGAACAAAAAAAACCCAATGAGTAAAGTGTTACTTTCATTCTTCTTTGGGTGCTTCCTGTTTCAGCAGCTCTCTCACTTTGTTTTTTTTCACGTGAAAACGATTGCTTGCGTTGCGATCGGTACGTGGTGATTTAAAAAAAAAAGATTTTCTATCTACGTGACTTAACCGAAAGACCCAAAAGAGTATGAATTCCTGCAGTCAAGAGTTACTTTAATTTCATTGAGAAGTTAAATTCGAACGTGGCGCTGGTACCATTGCATTAACGGAATCAATCAATGTTGTGAGTTCAACGCAGCGATTGCTCCAACGGTAAGAAAGATTGGAAACAAAAAACACCTTGCCTGACATCTTATACAACACGTAGTGTATCAATCGGATAACCCCCACCCACCCACCCACTCCCTTGACTATTAAAGCTGCGTACGCTGGGTCTGTCTGGAGGTAAAAGACAAATACAAGCCCTCTGATGTGGCACGTGAATTTAGTTTGGGTGTTGACGTCTCGTGGATGAGGCAGCGTGGAAAACTGCGTGCGGAATATGTGGATAGCGTGGGTTACGCGTGTATGTGCGTGCACGTGTGTGTGTGTGTAGGTCGGGAGCGGTAGTGTCAACTCAGCCTCAACTGAGTAACTGGTGCGGTGTGTAAACATCGCCACTGGGGAGACAAAGCCGACCGGGCGTGGTGCTGGCCACCCACCCCCTCGTGTGCCGTTCCGGCCTTCAAATGTGCTCGCTGACAGCACTTGCCCCAACAGTCTGTCAAGGCTATACGGAGGATCTTTGTCTTTTGTCTTGTGGGGAGCGGTATTAAAGTGGTTAACGCGCTTGTGCTACGTACCCGGCGACCCGGGTTCGATTCCCGCTCACGGCCAACACCAGTGACGATTATTTGAACCGGTCCTGGGTCTACCCTAGGTCTACTCGGCCTTCAATGAGTACCTGGTGTAGTGTGTAGACATCACCACTGGGGAGACAAAGGCAGCCGGGCGTGGTCAGTGACCACCCACGCCCTCGTCTGCTGTGCCATCCTTCATAGGTGCTCGCTAACAGCACTTTTCCCAAAAGCATGTTAAAGGCTATACGGGTGATCTTCGTCTTTGTTTTGTGTACGTGATCGCTACCAGCGCATGCCCTAGCAGTCTATTTGCACGCGTGTTAGAACCCAGCGACCCGAATTGAATTCCCAGCCAGGGCTAATATCGGTGGTACCATCTACAATTGTCTCACCAATATTGACTCAGCTTCAAACCGGCACCTGGTACGATGTGTGGATATCAGCACTGACGATGGTAGCCCCATCACCCCGGCATCTGTCCGTAAAATCCAGCCTTAATAGGTGCTCGCGAACAGCACTTGGCGCGCCCACAGCTCCTGTGGCTTTATGGGAGATCTTTGTCTCGTGCATGTGTCTGTGAGCACTGCAGTGTTGTGTACCAAAGGGTGTTTGGATGAATCTGTTGGTGTGCGTACGCGTTCGAGTGTGTCTGTGCGTCTGTGTGTCTGTGTGTCTGTGCGTCTGTGTGTCTGTGTGTCTGTGTCCATGTGCAGCTATTTTCGGACAAAGGCGGTCGGGCGTGGTTGCTGGCCACCCACCCCCTCGTGTGCCGTGCCGGCCTTCGTACGTGCTACTCGCTAACAGCACTTGCCTCAAAAAGGCTGTTAGGGCTATGCGGGGATATTTGTTTTTGTATGTGTTTGCAGATGTGTTTTTAGGTCTATGTGTGTGCGTATGGGTGTGCGTCCGTTGTGTATATGTATCTGGGTTTGTATGTTTGCTGTAATAAAAAGACGGGCACTGCACCGCGCGCTTTCAGATGCGCTTCTGCGGCCGTCTGGAACGCTCTTCCTTCCAATATTAGAACGCCACTGGAGCTATGCACTTTCAAACAATCTTATATTGAAAACTAATTTCTTTAGAACAGATTTGTATGCTTAGTTTGTTGTCTCGCCCCCCCCCCCCGCACATCCGACGAGTGCGGTTGTCTACGTACGGTGCGAAAGAAGTTCAACTTACGTACGTATGCAAGGGTATGTATCTGGGTGTGCGCGTGTGTGTGCATGCATACATGTGTGTCTGGTGTCAATGTGGGTCTGTATGTTGCCTTGAGCGCGCGTGCGTCCGTGCATGCACGTGTGCGTATGTTCCGTGCGTGCACGTGTGCGTGTGTTCCGTGCGTGAACGTGTGCGTGTGTCCGTGCGTGCACGTGTGCGTGTGTTCCGTGCGTGCACGTGTGCGTGTGTCTGTGCGTGAACGTGTGCGTGTGTCCGTGCGTGCACGTGTGCGTATGTTCCGTGCGTGAACGTGTGCGTGTGTTCCGTGCGTGAACGTGTGGGTGTGTCCGTGTGTGAACGTGTCCGTGTGTTCCGTGCGTGAACGTGTGCGTGTGTCCGTGCGTGCACGTGTGTTCATGGGGTGGGGGCGTGGCTGTGGAGTATCTGACCCAACACAGAGACACACGGCTGTTTAACCAGACCGGCAGCAACTTCACACAGCGCTCACTCGCATCACACACAAGGTCCCCCCACCCGGCTATAAAACTCCCCAGTGCGGCCCCCCACCCCTCCACCCTGCTCCCCCGATTCCTACATTTTCTCAAAAATGCCACAGCGGGGAATCCAACTGGTGCGAGCAGAATTGAGGCACGGCGTGCGATAGCACGCGCCTTCGCGGTGACTTCATCTCATCATCGTGGTCGTCTTCGGTCAACAACAACCTCGTCGTCGTCATCATCATCATCACCGTCGTCACAAAGGCGGGCGTGGGTAAAGATGCGTCGCGCATTTGCCACCGTGTTCGCGGCGCTGTCTGTCGTCGCCGGAGGAAACGGGCACGAGGATGATGTTCGCTGCCCACTGCCAAAGAAAGTAAGCGCCTAACGTTCTCCGCCCGCTCGATTTCATTTCCTCGTGTTTATCTTCTGCCGCGGTGTTGGTTGTTATTCGTGTCGGGGCAGCTGCTTGGTCAACGCATGAGTGTGCCGTTCGCGGTTTTGCGTGCGTGCGGGTTTTTTTTTTGCGTGTGTTGTGTGTGTGTGGTGTGCCTCTGGTTAAAATATAAATGAGTGCATGATATGTGCTGAAAGTTTTGAGCCCTGCGCTGGGCAAGTTGGCAGACAGAGATGCGTAAAGATTCACGGAGACTCGTGGAGATACATCGAGGCATATACTAGTGGAGATTGGTTAGAGACACGCACGGATACATAGACCTTATAGAGATGCATTCAAGACGAGCCACAGGTAGTGAGGTTATGGCCATACAACCCAAACTATGGCCCATATAAGAGACACATAGAGATACCGTACATAGCGACTCATAGAGATACACAGAGACTCAGAGACACATATACATACATAGAGGTACGTAGAGACACATAGCTATACATAGGGACCCATGAAGACACGTAGATACATCAAAGACAAGCAACAGCGGTGCGATTATAATCGTGCAACCCGAGCTATGGACCACATAACAAACCCGTAGAGACACTGTACATAGCGACTCATAGAGATATATAGGGACTGATGGAGATACAGAGACACCCATAGAGATAAGTAGAGACCCACGAAGACACGCAGATACATTAAAGACAAGCCACAGTAGGGCGATTGTAATCGTGCAACTCTAAACTATGGACCATATTAGTAACCCCCACTGTAGTCTGCGCCCCTTCAAAGGAGTAGGAACAGCAACACGAACTCTCTCTGCTAAAGCCCTCTCGACAGTGGCCAGTGGTAGCAGCGGACCTCTGACATTGCGCATTTAGCTCCTGAACATGTCTGCTGCTGCTGCTGCCATCATCATCATCGTCGTCACTCGCGAGAATAGAACAGCTGTTTTTGTTTGGCTGTGCGGAGCCGTTGGCATTTACAACCGAATGTCCAAAGAAGAGGAACAAATATGGGAGGAAAAAAACAATTTCACGGTCTGATGTGATTCAGGAAACGTGCAGTGGAAGGCTCGTTTGTTAAACGGCCCGTCCGGTTATTGCGAATTCCCTGAAACTCGTTCTCAGAAGGTTTGCGGGCAGTCCCCGACTTACGAGCACCGTGAGTTCCCGACCCGCGTTCGTAAGTCGAAGGGTTCCGTAAGTCGGAGCAGAACAATGAATTGTATTTAAATGTACATGCGGTCATTGTTCTGAATGTTCAACGAAAGGGAAGCATTGTTCAACTCATGAATAAGATGCATTGTACATTTGCATGTAACACTGTACATAAATACTGTATAGTAAGTAAAACATAAAATAAAGTAGAAAAAACACACTTTTATTTTCACTTACCTTGAGTCCTGGCTTGCTATTCGGAAGGGGCGCAACGAGTGACCACAACTGTACACACAAAACACTCAGGCACACAAACACTCACACACGTAAACACTCACACACACAAACACTCACTCACACAAACACTCAGGCACACAAACACTCACACACATACATACACACACAAACACTCAGGCACACAAACACTCACACACACTCACACACACAAACACTCATACATAAACACACACACACACAAACACACACACAAACACTCACACACACACTCACACACGTAAACACTCACACACACACTCACACACACTCACACACGTACATACACACACAAACACTCAGGCACACAAACACTCACACACGTAAACACTCACACACACAAATACTCACACACATACATACACACACAAACACTCACTCACACAAACACTCAGGCACACACTCACACACAAACACACACAAACACTCACACACACAAACACTCACATACATACACACACAAACACTCACAAACACTCAGGCACACAAACACTCACACACGTAAACACTCACACACTCACACACGTAAACACTCACACACACAAACACTCAGGCACACAAACACTCACACACGTAAACACTCACACACACACTCACACACACAAACACTCACACACATACATACACACACAAACACTCACGCACACACACTCACACACATACATACACACACAAACACTCACGCACACAAACACTCACACGTAAACACTCACACACTCACACACACACACAAACACACACACAAACACACACACACAAACACTCACGCACACGAACACTCACACACTCACACACACAAACACTCACACACATACATACACAAACACTCACGCACACAAACACTCACACACGTAAACACACACACAAACACTCAGGCACACAAACACTCACACACGTAAACACTCACACAAACACTCACGCACACAAACACTCACACACGTAAACACTCACACACACACACAAACACACACGCACACAAACACTCACACACACAAACACTCACACACATACATACACTCACGCACACAAACACCCACACACACAAACACTCACACACATAAAGACTCACTCTCACACGCACAAACGCTCACTCACAAAAGATCCCCCGTATAGCCTTAACAGACTGTAGGAGCAAGTGCTGTTAGCGAGCACCTATGAAGGCCGGCACGGCACACGAGGGGGTGGGTGGCCAACACCACGCCCGGCCGCCTTTGTCTCCCTAGTGGCGATGCTCACACATCACACCAGGTACTCACTTGAGGCTGAGTCGACCTAGCGGAGGCCCAGGACTGGTTCAGATAATGGTCACTGGTGTTGGCTGTGAGCAGGAATCGAACCCGGGGGGCCGGGTTTGTAGCGCAGACCGCTAACCACTACACTACCGCTCCCCACACTATCACACACACTCACACAAACATACACTCACACACACAAATAGATGCACAAACACTCATTCACGCACACTCTCTCACACACAAACACATTCAACAACAACAACCGCCATTCGCCACTAAGTGGCGGTGACGTCACCACGACGCTTGTGCCAGGCTATGTGCACCCTGAGGCCACGTGAAGTGTCGAACGCCCGCTGGCAGGAGGTCACGGGGCAGACCCAGGTGTCACGGGTCGACTGACTGCGATGACTGGCTGATGCACCACCTGTGCCCCCTACTGTGCCAACCTGCTGTGCTTTAGCCACCCGGCGCTCCGCTCGTTGTTCTGAGCGTCGCTCCTCCGCCCTCCGTTGTTGTTGGAGGGCGACTGCCTCCAACTGCCCAGTAGCATCCTTCAAGAGCCTCCTCCAAGGAGGCCGATCTTGACACCGCTGGTACCAGTCATCGGCAAGTCCACTCAGCTCCACGTCCTCCTGTACCACATCACTCCATCTCTTCTCTAGCCCGTGCCGCGCCCGCTTAGCCCCCTCAATCCGGCCGAACAAAAGCTGTTTCGGCATGCGGTGGCTGGGCATGTGGGCTACATGACCCAGCCATCGCAGCCTTGCCCGCCGGAGGAGCTCACCGATGGGACCTTGCCCAGATCTTTCAAGGATTTGTGAGCTCCTCACACAATCCAGTCTGGTTAAACCCAGGATGGATCGTAGGCAGGCCAGCCTAAATGTTTCTAACCGGCGAAGATGTTCCATTAGGGGGGTCCACGTTTCGCAAGCGTAGAGAAGGGAGGGAATGACCGTGGCCGAGAAGACCTGAAGCTTAGTGCGGAGCGACAGACCAGGTAGCTTCCACACAGCGTTACGCCAGTCATAAGCACACTGCCCAGGTATGGGAAACTCTCTACTCGCTCCACAAATGCCCCATCACCGATTGGGAGTTGTGGGGGTGGAGTGTCCGATGGTTCAAAATACCCAGGCAGGTGCTTAGTTTTGGTGGGGCTGATGGTAAGGCCCCACCTCTTAGTGGCACGCTCCAGTCTCAGCAGCAGCGTCTCCAACTCCTCCTCTGAATGAGCAGCCATTACCAAATCATCAGCATACATAACGTGGTTGAGCAATAGGGAGCCATCCCTTTACCGCACCCGGGCGTCGATCAGCCTCCCATTATATCTGTACCATATGGAGATTCCCCCGGTACAGCTATTGAAGGCTTCACGAACTACGTGGTCAAAATAGATATTAAATAATGTGGGAGCCAGAGGACATCCCTGTCGCACCCCAAGGTGTACAGGGAATGGCTCTGACTCCCGGCCACGTAGTTTTACCCGGGCCTGCTCACCATCATGAAGGTCCTTAATGATCGTGAGCAGAGGGTCAGGTACTCCAAAAGCACGAAGAACAACCCAGAGCCCAGGCCTACTGATGGTATCATAGGCCTTGACCAGGTCAATAAAGCAGAGATGTAGGTCTCCACAAACACTCACTCACACACAAACACTCACACTCACTTACTCACACAAACACTCACACACAAACACTCACACACACACACTCCCAGCACGAGGCTGCCTCATTAACATTTCGCGGAGGATCGCCCAGCTGAACAAAACAGTGCACGTGTAGTTCAGTTCAATTCAGTTCAGTTTCTTTATTTTGGTATAGCCCTGTGAGCCATTCGGCTCTTGAATTGGGTGCAACCACAACAAACAAACAAACAAAAACATGAACAAGAAAACATCTTAAAGTGACTATGTGTGACTGTGCAAACAGAAAATCCATGGAAAAAAACCAGCAAAAATGTTTCTGAAAAAAGCACCGTACACCAACGCTGTGTGCAAAAAATCCCAGTGGGATGCAAGTCAAGCAACAACAACAACCATGAGACAACTTAGATTAAGGCCATCAGTCTAACTCCGTACTACAACAAAACAAACATGTCCAAACCAAAAAACTTTTCGAAATCACCAAAAAATAAAGCCATAATTGCAACGTAACAGTGATCATAGGGACTCTGACCGAATTTTTACATCAAACTACATAAATAACATGTAACACCAAATCCTAGAGCAGTGGTTCTTAACCTGGGTTCGATCGAACCCCAGGGGTTCGGTGAGTCGATCTCAGGGGTTCGGCAGAGCCCCCGCCACGGAGGTCCGGAC